TTCGGCGCGCGGCCCTTCTTTTTTATAATCCAGTCCCCCGGCGGACCAGTCGATCGCCGAGAGCGCCGCGTCGTCGCCGTTTCGACGGTTTTCTCGACTTTTTCGACTAGAGTCGCGTTTAGCACCTCTACGAGACGTCCGACCTACCCGTCGGCGACGTATTCGAGTTCCACGCTAAATTTATAGCCGGCGCGCGGCCCTACTTTTTCAAAAGCGAGCCCCGGGGAGAAGCGGCGTTGCGGAAACGAGAGTAGGTACCGATTACGTATCGCTATATATAGGCATAAATACATGCGTCTCGAGGTTCGATTTTTTTCGCAAATCTCGCGTTTTATACGTCAGAGGGCGGCGGATTCGGAGGTCCTCTCGCCGAAACGGTCGGATCGCCCGCTCAAACGCCTTTTGACGGCCGTCCAAACGGCGTTCGCCTTTCGCGTGCACGGTGACGTGGCTTAAGAGTCATACAATTGACTGTGAATTTCATCTCAGTAGGTGGCCAGGTAGGTTAGGCGTTAGGACAAAGGGACTCGGGGGTCGTGGTTTCGAACCCGGCCGCCGGGATTTTCGATAATTTGCGGCGGCCGTGTTAAATCTGAATTTTTTTTTCACTTTTTTTTTCGTCGTCTTTTCGCTATCACTTCCGTCTTATCGTATTTAACGAAAATATTCGGTTTTTTTTTAAAATTCGAATTTTACCGCCTCTACGGACTTCGAAGACTTATTCGCGTTCCCCGTCAAAGCAGTCCTTGATACTATTTATTACTATTCACGGGCTTGAATATATGCGTCGAAGAGTTCGATTTTTTTTTTTTTGCAGTTTTTTTCAAAAATTCGATTTTTAGCCCGTTTCGGTCGTATCGCCCTCCCCGCTTGGATTTTATTCGCGTTCCCCGCTAAATTTACAGCCGGCGCGCGGCCCTACTTTTTCAGATACGAGTCCCGGGGAGGAGTGGCGTCGCAGAAACTTGAGTAGGTAACGCTAAATATATGCGTCGCGTCGTTTTTTGCCGTTTTTTTCTAAAATTCCAGTTTTAGCCCTTTTCGACACTTCTGCAATCCCAGTTCATGACTTATTCGCGTTCCCCTCTACATTTACTCGACCACCGTCGAGTAGGTGTTACTATATACAGGCATCGAAATGCATGCGTCGAAGGTTCCTTTTTTTTTCTCGAATATAGCGTTCTGAACTCAGTAGGTAGGTAGATAGGTAGCAAGGCCGCCGGAATTTTTTTTTCACTTTTTTCTTTATTATTACTTTTCGATTTCACTTCAGCCTTATCATATTATAACGAACATTTTACGATTTTTTCGAGTTTCACCGTCGAAGGCTTATTCGCGTTCCCCGCCAAATGTATAAGTCAGTACTTCGCTCGAGTCGAGTGCCGCGGAGGAGATCGGAGAGCGGACAGTGTCGTTATTACTATATACGGAAATGAAAATATGCGACGAAAAGTTTCAATGTTTTTTTCGAGTTTTTTTTTTCGTCATATAAATATGATTAACGGAAACGTCATCAGCTTATCGAGTTTTGCTTCTAAATCGCTCTACTACCTACTAATTACTATAAACGACAAAAACTATTAAACGTGGCCGCCCGACTTGCTAGACACTCAACAAATCACGGCGACTATATTATGACTAGCACGGGCGCCCGAAATGTTATTATTTATATACATTTGATTTACGTCATTTGGCGTTTTCATGCCTTGACCCGGACGTCGCACTATCCGACGAAGTCAGATTGCCTACCAGGGTTGCTACGTCCAACGTCGAGGAAGGTGACTGACCTGCTAGACACCAAAACATATACCAATTTCTTTACTTAATTTTGCGTCAGAAGTCACACGTTGTCCGCTATCCGACGCTAGACCCTAGATCCTGCTAGACCCTAAAACATATTTTCGCGTAATTACGTCGAGGAAGGTGACTCGGTAGTCGGATTGCTTACGAAATGTTTTGAATTTTTTTCACGTATTTCATAACTTAATTTTGCGTTGTCGGTGACTGCAATGGACGCTGTCCCGGCCGCACATTGCCTACCCGGATAACATAGATGACTGACCTGCTAGACACCGAAAAATCAGACGGTGGCTATATGATTTGAATGGACAACCGAAATATTTTGAATTTTCTTCACGTAATTTATTCTTTAATTTTGAGTTTTCGGTAACAGTAATGAACGTCGTCCGCGATTCGACGCAGTCGGATTGCATACGTGATGACGTGACCCGGCCGTCGCACATTGTCCGCTATCCGTCCAAGTCGGATAGCCTACTCCTATTATTATAGCGAATGTCATTCGAGGTGACTGACCTGCTAGACACCCTAAAAAATACGGCGGCTATATGATTTGCATGGACGTCCAAAATTTTTTAAATACTTTTCAAGTAATTTATTACTTTTTTTGCTTTTTCGGTAACAGTAATGAACGTCGTCCGCGATTCGACGCAGTCGGATTGCATACGTGATGACGTGCCCCGACCGTCGAATATTGTCTTAAAGGGTGACTACGACCAAAGTCGAGGAACGTGACTGACCCGCTAGACCCCAAATACTATTACTACGGCGAACGTCACTCTAGGTGACCGAACTGCTAGATACCCACAAAAATTACTATATTATTTTTTTATCAAATTTCGAATTTCCGGCGGCGTCGTCGAAAAGACTCTGTCAAAGACTCTGCCCTGGCTACCACAGGCTACCACGTCGAACCGCAGTGGTCCTATCCTTATCACCAGACCTCCACATCACCCATACACCGCGTCGGCTGAGACCCACGACCACACCACGAGATCACCGCTGCTTCCGAAAACGACAACACTCGTGGTCCGCTCACGGGGGTCTGGGGGTGTCCCCCAGCGACGCTCGGAGAGCTAGTTTCTATTATAAAATCAATAAGTAATTGTGTTAACTTTGACAGTTTAATGGGCTATTCCTTTAAGTATAATATTATAGAGTATAGGCCATTAACACGTACCATTTTTAAGGCATCAACAATACCGGGCTCTATAATAATTAATAATATTCAAAGATAATTCTACAGCAATCTAGCAGCAAAACCGAACGTATAAGCAGCGAAAGGATCTTCCCACGTTATTGTTGAACAATTCAAAACGAAACCGGTAGACAGCACTGCCGATATCGCTCGGACCACGAATTCTATCTACCTTAATTTCTAGTTTTTCCGAATACAATAAAAGACACAATTTATTGTATGTGCTTGCTGTCGCTGTTAAAATGAAATTTTGTTGAAATTAATTTCGGTTATTATTATTATTAATGAACATATTAAGCACAATAAGTTAGTCAAATTAGTGGCTTAATATCTTAAAATACATAAATATTGAGCTCCGTTTCGCCAGTACTGCGACTTTCAAATATTAGTACCAAACCTTGATATTATTATGTACTTTATTTTCTTTTTTGTAAAATTTCGTGCAAGAAAAAAACATTTTGTACACACGATTGTAAAATGTCATCATATCGCGAGTACCATGTACCGTATATCGGTGGGTATAATAAGGCTACCCAAGACATAATAAAATATTATCATTAAAAAGCATCATAAATAGTATAATATACGTCATGTGAATTGTCTAATTCATAAAAAGCAAAAACTTTTTACAATAAAAAAAAAATATGGAATAAAATAAATATAAAATTATAAATAAATATAGCAATTTTATTAAAATACTCATAAAGATATAACTCAACAAAATTGTTATATAACAACAACAACAACTCATAATTGGATAATCATTTTTTTTATGGAACAAATTAACAATATATAAATTACTCAATACTGAATCAATAGTCGAATAAAAAAAGATTTAATTATAGTGTCATAGGTAAATTTTTACTAATAACTTATTATTTTCACAAACTCCAAATTACATATTTTCTTGATTTTAATTTTAATTTGTATAAACTTTTTTCAAATATTTATATCAAAATATATGTATCGGATTCAATCGGGATGTTTATTTAATTTTAATAACCACGAAAAATAGTATTTCCTACCTGATAATATTAATATGTACAGGAAGCAAATCGGGATAGGTAAAAAGGTAAAAAGGTTATACTTTGAGTCGCAATCAGGGCACATATTATTTCGTGTACACAACAACCTATGTCTTGTAAAATAATATGATTTTTACCACGCATTAATATACATGATATTTTTTAAACTTCGTTTTAGTTTGTTTTTATTTTAACATTTTTGTTTGTGAGTGGAAAACCTTGAGAAATTAATACAAGGTTCCATGTAAGTTCTTCTCACCACAAATAAAAAATATCCCGACAGCTGGACCACGACCGCGGTTTACTCAAAAACTTAACTAAAAACTAATTATAAATTCAGCTAGGTGTTCAGTGTTCGCATGTGTCCGCCAGACGGGAGAAGCCAACACGTGTAGGTACTCAACGAACTCCAAATGTATGTTGACGTTGCAAAAGGGTCTGCGACGAACAAGACGTGCCTCGTGATCAGGTTAAGATTAGAATTCAATCTTTGTTATTGTTTGGTTGTCATGGCAATGCTTTCCGTATCACACAAAATTATAGAATGACCCCAGCCATAAGACATACACATGTCGAAAAAATGTATTTTGAAGAAAATTGGTGTTGATGCCTTTCATTAGACTTATTTTCTGATAAATCTCATTGTTTTTACCAAGATTCATTTTTTTTTTTTTTATGAACAGTGGTTTTATTATTTTATTCAAATCATTATCATAATTATTTTATCAAACTGATCTAATGTGTGGAAACAACAACTAATGTTGGTGAGTATTTGGAAAAATAAATAAATAGTCAAAATATTAATATATTTACTAATATAAAAATTAATATACTATTGGTACAATAGGTAGGTACATAGTCTTGTAAAATGTAAATAAAGTTATGTATATTTTTATTGGTTTTGAATAATCCACAGTATTATCTTTTTTATATCAATCATCAGATAGAATAAAATATAGATATAGATGACTGACATATTATTATTCATACCTTGGGTTTCGTTGTTTTCTCCAAGATTCATTTTTCTGTTGATGAATTTCATTAGACTTATTTTCTGATAAATCAACCCTCTGTTTTCGCCAAGATAAATTTTTTTCATTAATAGTGGTTTTATTACCATCATTAAAATTATCACCATCAATATTTAATTTTAGAATTCTATTGAACCAATCAAATGTGTAGTCAACCATATTTTTTTCTTCTATACTCCACTTATAGTTTATTAAATCTTTTAGATTCTCAAATAGAACATTCAGAAATTCATTTGGTTTAATATATCTGCCCACATTAAACAATGGACGAACAAACTAAAATCATAAAAAATAATGATATCATACTTTAGAAAACAACATTTATATACAAAACATGCATTGAGAATTTTTTATACACATATATCATCAACTATAACACGCATAAGTTTCAACAAATTATCGTACTAATAAATCATATTATATGCCCATAATGAATTGCATAGATCATTTATAATTTCAACTACCTAATTCCTAAATTTTGTAAATACATAATTATTTTTTGTTTTTATATGTACCTATTTGCGAAGATAAAAAAATGTAATTTATGCCTATAATAATTTTACTCTTCATTACAAATAATTTGAAGTATTAATATACCAAGTAACATCAACTTACAATTAAATGCCGTTTTTTAAAAGTATCGTTGACGTCTTGATCAATGTACAGTTTTAGCTAGCGCATCATTTCTTTCGGATTTTTTTCACAATAACTGTAATACATCAATAAATGTAATAAAATAGTTAGGCTTCTCACTGGGCTTGAAAAATCATCATACATCATATTTAGAGTGTTTACGTAAGGAAATGTATTGACAGATTGTACCTAACAGGCACTCTACTTTGAAACTGCAATGCACTATTAAATTGACCAGCAGCCTTTCCACGACATAAATTAATTTTTGCTTTTGCATAATCCTGAAACAAAACAAATAATAATTGAATAATTTTTTTTTATCCCAATACCTATAATTTAATAAATATCATACCTGTTCTTGTTTTAAATAATATAAGCCTAGAACTTGATCCACACAGCTATTTTGAACATTTGTGAGTTTTGTAATTAAATTGTCTATAATGGATTTTGACAACAGTTTTGGATTTTCGGTACATGCCATTAAAATAAAACAAAGTTGTATTGTATCATCTTTTGCTAATTCAACTGATTTTCTAATAAAAAAACACATCAATATCGTTCAATTGAAAATAAATGAATAAGTAAATAAAAATAAGATAAATGAATAGTGAACAACATAGTAAAAATAGATTTAATTTTTTTTTAAAACTATAATTTAAAACATATATGATAAACACATTAAAATGTGTGATAGAATTTTTAAGTAAGTTATTACTAACTTTCATTATTTACTTACTTACTTACTTATCAATATATTATTTTAGTAGATACTTAGAAAAACGACTTACTTAGCAATATTAGATGCAAGCTTATAATATTTGTTGGATTAATTGTAGTTGTTTTTTATTTTATTAACAAATCCTGCTTCTTTGTAAAGTTGAGAAACTTCAATTAAAATGTGAGACTTTAATTTTGTTGAGCATAACGTTTTTGCAGCATCCCTTTCATCATTATCAGCCATATCAAATGGTTGGTAATAAGTAATAACGCCTTACTCGTCCTTTGGCTTTTAACCAAACGATTATCCATTCATGTTCTGCAGAATAGAGGTTGCATGCTCGAGAAGCAAATTCTAAAGCAATATCGTTTCCTTTTGGAGAATATTCCATAAAAACTCTGGCTTTAACCCCACAAATTGCAGCTTTCTCAGCACAATTAAAATTGTTGATTTGTTTAATATCATTGAGTAACTGAGAGAGAAAAATTAGTTAGATAAATAATTTATATTATTAGGTCTTTCCCTATAATAGCAGGCTATTTTAATAAATTTATTGATATAATGTATATATAACATTTTTAAAAGAATTGATTTATTTGGGTTACAAAATAAGTTTGAAATGGATCTCTATATTATGATAATATACTAGCTCAGTGGTCGGCAATCGGCGGCCCGCGAGTCTATTAAATACGGCCCGCTTTAAATTCTATAACAACGAAATTTAATTGAATATCATATCAAAAAAAATCATATTGTATAAATATAGTTGAACGTTTCTATCAGTCATATTTTATAATAGTGGATATACCTTGACACTTTGACAGTTACCGATAAGATGGAGTAGATACGACGAGTGTATTTGGGTTATAATCTTAATTTTCGATTGTGCTCAGTAACATTGCGTTTTTCATACGGGTATGTGCGGTTTGCATCGTGAGTAATTTTTATAACATTTTAATTTATATTTTATGTCTTATATTAGTAATCGTTTATTAGGCTGTTAATTTAAATTTTAAACTAGTTAAAATGAATGTCGGTAAAAAAAGAAAAATAGATTCTGAATGTCGTGTATTTCAACATAAATGGATCAATCAATACTTTGTTATTGAAAATAAAAGTCATGTGCCTTGTTTGTCGTGAATTAATTTCTGTATTGAAAGAATACAATATTAAACGGCATTATGAATTCAAGCATAAAGTTAAATATGACTCCTTATACGGACAGTTAAGAGAAATTGAAGTTAATAAACTACAAAAAGCTCTAACCGGAGAACAAACGATCTTTTCAAAAATAACTACTCAAAATAAAGCCATAATTTCTGCTAGTGTGAATGTAGCTATGTTAATTGCGAAAGAGGGAAAACCATTTACAGACGCAGAAAATGTGTACTAAGCATGGCCGGTAATATTTGTCCAGATATTGTACATAAGTTTGAAGAAGTCCCCCTGTGGCCTCAGGATTTTTTAAAAATAAATACACAGATATCTAAGCTAAACTAGATAGTGAACATTTTTACATTTTACATGAAAAAAGTGAAGCTAGTTTTAATCTCATAGTATTATAGAATCTGTGAATAAATGTAATAACTAATAAAGTTATTAGTTAATTAGTTATCATCTACCAAATGATTTATTATTATCACAGAATACTCTTCTATCCACGATATTAGCTATAGTGGACTACTTTTTTTTATCACAGTGTATCTATCAACTAGGTACCTATTAGTATTTTAGAATCATAGATGAAGTAAACCATGAAATATAATTTGACCTATGCAGCTATGCCTAAATGCAAGTATATATGTACGCATATTACTATCCTTATATAAAAATATAAAATATATACTAAACAAAATTACATTGAACCATTTCCTATAGTTATTTATATAGTTGCTTATTACTATCATAATATGCTTTTTATGTTTTAAGATATATTATTCAATAGGTAGGTACTCATAAAAAATTTATTGTAAAAAGTAAGTCAAATCCAACACGATTTCCTTTGAAAATATTGTAGAGGCATATAGAAAATTATAAGTTAATACAAAATGAACTAAAAATGACATACATGGGTTATTCGTGCATCGATTTATAATAATTGTCATGAATTAAATGTTACTCCATATGCGATACAAATACCTACCTAGGTGCTGAAGGGTTGAACTGGATTTCCAAGAATTATGTGTAAAAAAGAATATTAAATTTGAAATACGATGCAAGTTTAATAGAAAATATGGACAGGTAAGAAAAATTCTAAGCTTTTAAATAGTAAGTATAAAGTTGTACTATTGAACAGGCAGCAGACGCGGACGAGCTCATAATAACTCAATACTCAGACGGTTCACACAGTAAGTGAAAAACCACGTTCATATATTATGCATATTTCTTTCATGCCCCAAAAGGGACAGTTGACAGTTATATTGTAGACAATGCTCAACGTGAAGTTAATTTTCTAATTCAATAATAATTTTCACTATCAAAATCCTAAACGATGACGTGATAAAATGCTTAGACTTTTCATATAATATACATGTTATAATAAACGTTCCACTATTAAGTATTTGTTTATTTATGTGTTTCCAATGTATATTATCGTCTTTTATGAATAAAAAAGGTAGGCAAGTGGGTACCCTTCTACTATACAGATGTACAGTATATGTCTAGATGGGTCGCTGGGACGAATGTGTTAAATACTTTAACTTGAATTCAATGATATAGAATCGTTTTATATGAAAAACGATTTTGGGCGAAGGCAGTCTGCTGGTCTATAATATTACTTATTAGTAAGAATATTTTATTATATTATTGTTATTATTTATTAAACTAATTTATTTTACTATTAGACATTATAGGGTAAGTACCTAAAAATATTGAATTTGAAAATGTCATAGTGTGTATAGTGTCTATACAATATAATAATATGCTTAAAAAAATTCAAATACCTACCCAAAAATAATATTTTTAAATTAGAACAAAATAACTATTTCGTTAAACTTTTTTCTTTTGTAGAAAAAAATATGGAAATCTTGTAATACATTTTTAAATCTTGGATATAAATAGAACATTTTCTATGAAATACTAACTTAAAATAATTTGCAAATATTGTCTTGATTTTGACGAGTTTTGGCAAAATTCTAACTTCAGGTGCTCATAAAAAACATTGTGGATTCACTCGTAACTTTTTTTTTTATTTCCATTAATAACTACTTATGAGAAACCTTGTATAAATGTTCAAATTTAATTAACCAAGAAAAAAATATTTTATCGACGAATATTAAATTTAAAGAACATGTAATATAATAATCGACATTTTCTTATGCCTGTAAATAGCTCAAAAAGAATTAAAATATTTTGAACATTTTATGGAGTATTAATGATGTCAATATACATATTCGATGAATATCTTATGTATATACGATTGTTTTTTTTTTAATTACACCAAAAATTAAAACTGGTTTTGCAAAAAATTCCTGTTTAATATTTTTCCCTATTTTTAAAAATTCCCATTTTTCATTAATTTTGTTTTCTTTTTCCCGGCGCTTTTAAAAACTGCTGGAAATGTTCCTCAATGTGCCATCTAGATTAACTTTCACATCGAACAAGATACTGAAGTTTAAAATCGAAGTACTTTACAAGGTACAAAAATGAAAATAAAAAAACACACATCATTGTAAATCCAATACATTCATATCTCTCTGCTCAGAATATAAATGCTCGAGGCATTTTTTTACATAGCACTCTACTCGATATTTTTCCACTCCGAGGAAAATGTATGTATCATAAATATGTTTTGGGGAGAGCGTCACTGAATTGTATATGAATGACGTTTTAAAAAATACTAATTAAAAAGAATTTAAGTATAAAGTCAAAATATAATATCATATTTATTGAATTCATATCTTTTAATTATTGTATAGTGTACATCTTTACACTTAAGAGCCGACCTGCGGTTGGTATTGAAAACCAATTTTTGTCATTTAATTTTGTTATGTATCCAGATAAATATTCATATACAAATATTATTTTTGACAATTTGCGTTTCTAAACAAAGCTGAAAGCGTTACAAAATATTTTGGCCTTGTAAAAATCGGTCAGAAAAAAAAGTTACAGCCTTTTGCAAAGACATATAGTTTAGGTAGATGTTTAAAAAGAACACACACATACATCTTTGTAAAATCAATACATTCATATCACTCCATTCGAAATCTATAATCTATAAATATATAATTATAAACCTAGGAAATAACCATCGTAACAAAATATACATCTGATAAAATCAGGACGACCCAATAAAAAATAGACTATATAATATTATCATGTGTCCTCTGATTGTGAGTTCCATAAACCACGCGTACTATTTCAATATAATTTTTTCATCAACATACTATAGATATAAATGTGTAGGTACAAATTGCTTTCAATGCAAGCACATTCCTTTTTGATTCAGGACAAGTCCACGCTTATAATATGTACGTGGTGTCATTAATGATTTAAACTACCTATTTATTATTAATGACATTGTAGTTCCAAAACGAAAACTTTTAGCGACTACCCATGAACGACGTCGATATCCAGGCTGCACAGGCCACGACCACGACGCCCTTACCCGGGGCCATGCCCGTAAGCGCCAACGAGTGCGGCGACGATGAGACGGCCGTAGACCTGACGCTGTTCAAGGTCATCGGTCTGCAACGTTTGCTAGACCCTGGGTCCAAGGGCCGTCGGTTACGGGCCATGTACAAGTGGATCGCTTGCCTGACCTTGACCATACAGCTGATGCAGGTGGTAGGGCTGTACACGTCGGTTAACGACGTGCAGCGGTTCGCGTCCTTGGCCGTGTTGGCGTTCAACGAAATAACGTGCTCGTTCAAGGGGATCTTGTTGGTCACAAACGCCGATCGGATGCGTGCCGTGCTGGACGTCGCCATGTACCGGTACACGACGTGCGGTTACCGACAGCCGGCCAACATGCGGCTGACCAGCGCCACGGTGTCCACTCTACTCAGGACGTTCACCATGATTGCCTACTTCATGCTGGTCACGTGGATCGTCATACCGTTGTTCACGGGCGTAGATTACGTGCAGATCGAACACAGTGACGGCACTGCCGGTGCTTACCGGAAGACCATCGACAACATATGGCTGCCCGGCATGTCCGAGACCGTGTACAACTGGCCGCCCGTCTGGGCCACCATCTATGCGACCGAGGTGGTCATGTTGACGGTTGACGCGGTCATCTGGGTTATGTTTGACTGTTACCTGATCACCGTATGCTTCGTACTCAACGCCCAGTTCCGCACATTGGCGGCCGGGTACGAGACGATCGGGCGCCAAAGGTTGAATCTACGGCGAGGTGTAGACTCCCTCAAAAGTAGGTACTTTATTATACTGTGCTTATATTGCTACCGAAAACCATCTATGATGATTCATACAATTTGTTTTATAATAGAACAACAATAATTTCAGACTAACAAAAAAAAATGTTTAAAACAAACATTTTAATGATAAATATAATGATAGGATAGGTACGCATCAATATAAAATATATACCTACCTAAATAGTGTATAATAATTCAACGAAATACAAGTTGAAGTTACACAAATTAATTTAAAACTGAAAATAACAGTAACTATTTAAAAAAAACTGTGAACTTAAATGATGAAATTATAAGTTTAAATATTCCAAGTATTGTGATTGTGCATGATTATTGTACCAATATGAATAATATCTTAATATATCTCCCTCTATGGTCTGTTCAGAATGAGATCGGTACACGGCGGCCATCAGTTTTCGTCGGGCGGCTGTCAGACGCTGTCGGCACTACGGCCAAGTAACAAAGCCGCTCATGCGCACTATTTGGCCGCCCGTACTGATCTCATTCTGAACAGACTATAATAATATATTTTATTACCTATCTTTTTTTTGGTATTGAACTTCGGACTATCTATAGTTCTATGCTGTTTTTATTTGTATTTCTTGAGAACAGTCTTCTACTTATAATTTCCATTGAAACGTGGGGACGATTTTTTTTTCGACAAAATATTTTGTTAACACTTAACATTAACATTATTTTTGTAATTTTTCGTAAAATGTCTATTGAATGATAATTTTCAAAAAAATAAATACATTTGTATATATTTGATTAATTAATAATTACTTTTGTTTGAACAATATTAATTTTAAACACCCCCATAAGTCATTGCTGGTTATACTCATACCAAATTATACTTATACAATAATACTTATACCAATTTAAATTTTTTTAAAGTCTTAGTCTTCTTCAGACCTTCTAATACTTTTCTCGGCTGATACTATGAGCTCGGCGTATATGTCTAATAATTTGTGTTGATGTTGCAGGTATGGGTGGAAAGAGCGATGACGGTGATATAGAT